ATATTTTAGGCTTCGGTGGGAAACTGCATGCTGTCTTGTCGGTTGGTTTCAACTTGATGCCACAAGAAAGAACTGCCTGGAGATTGGCGAAAGTATCTTCTCCACCTACCCCTGCTTTGGTTGGAGAGTACCTCATTTGGACGTATTTCGCGAGCGCGCGCTCGTGTTGTTATTGTTCAGCACCAAGGACAGGCCTGTTTCAATGTGAGTAACATGTTCAGCACCAAGGACGGGCATATTTGACTATGAGGAAGGTGTTCAGCATAAAGGACAGTCATGTTTGACTATGAAGAAGATATTCAGCACCAGAAACAGGTCTTTTTGATTGTTAGGAAGGTAAGGACAGGTCTGTTTAACCGACAGGACGGTGTTCAGCACCAAGAACAGGCGTGTTTTACTGTGAGGGTGTTTGGGACAAATGTCACGCGCCATGTAAATCACAGTATCCCGAATACGTAGCAAATCAATCATTTACTTCATAAGAATAATTAGAGACTATTAAAGAAAGATACGACTCGAGGTCTCATCTAAGTTATAAATGATTTTTAAAAAATGACGCCCTGTCCTTTACTGCGTTTCTTCGTCCACAAGTTGAAGAGAAACTGCCAGCTCGTAACCAGCTGTGTAGACATGACCAGTCCTCGGGGCGTGGAAGTGCGGCAGTTTGTAGTATTTTGTAGATGCTGTAGCAGTATGGTGGCGCCAGCCGCATCGTTTTCACCCATAGAAATGGCCTGTAAAACTTTATAGACATAGCTGATGACGTCACGGACTGTACCACTACTGGTACTTCCGGGGGTGCTGGAATTTTTGGTCAGTTGAAATTAGCTAGAGTGCACCGACGATGTGGAAGGCATTTAGGAAGGCGTATATGCATATTAAGTGTAGTATTTCTAACGGCTTTAAAGGTGCCTTGTCAAAACATTTGTGGATCATATCAATTCCCGCGAGTTCCTTGCTCAAGCAAACTCCGCGTGATGAACAACTCACGTGGGTGACTCACGCAGACGGAGATTCTGGCAAATCCCATCTTTATCACCTGTTTCTCAACAAAATACGCTGACGTAAGATTTTCTGTGGATCTTGTAATTCACACCATTACCCTACTATGTTCCCTACTATGTCATCCCTGTTCAACAGCTTCATCAAGTTGGTAGGTCATCGCAGAATGGGGATTTATTTTACAGTCGAGAGTTTCCTACCTACCAACATTTCAGCAGCCCCTCTGCTGCCTTCATCATCGTCTAATTACATCTACTCCATGTTCTCTGTCACGTTTGTCATGTCTTGGCGCTGCACAGCTACAACGCACCAGGCGGGCCTGCCCCTCACGCTGTCTATCGACCTACCAACCTTGGAAATACCCAACATAAGCCTAACAATGTAATCAATTTGAGGTAGTCAGTCTGGATAGGTGATGTTCTTAATGCTGATGCCACATTATTCCATGTCGTTGGTTGTCCGAATGGAAGAAATGTTCCAGGGACTAGTGCACTGCCACGTGACTTGTCGCTCAGCAAATCGTCTCTGATGTATACCAATATCAATAAATCGACAATGCAGTTCATCAATAGGTTACTTACATGATTGGAATTGGTCCAAACTGTCCGGGTTATACTCGCGTCACATGTACGGAACTATTCTGTTAATGTCCCGGATGACTATTCAGAGGTTTATTGGGGCGCATGTAAAATGTACAGTAAGTTGAAAGGCGGCCTGTACTTTGAAGAATTCAAGTGAAAGCTGAAGGCGGCTTGAGGGTGGAAACTATGTTTAGAAATCATTGCTATCATATTTGCACGATTATGGCTGTAGCTCTGATTTATGGGCTTTTGAAACTTTGCGTTAAACTACCGGGCATAGGTTAAAGAAAGTGACTGGAGTTATGAGATTGCCAAGTGATCAGTGTAATTCTCCACATTAGGGTTGTAGGTATGGTGTACTTGGTCTTTGGTATGTGCCAAATGAGTCCCAAATAAGTGTTATTACCCCCATCGAATAGGTTGTATTAGTGTCTAAGAGTCTGTGAACACTGTAGCACATGATGTCAGTGGTTAGCGCATTTTATGACGTTCTTGGGGACCGGGAGATGTTCTGATGTATGTTGAAATCTGTACAGTTTTCTTTCGCATGTCAGTGACCAAGGCTTGCGTTCTAAATTGTTTTACTGGATATCATCTTTCTAGCTGCTTCGCCAACAAAGTGCTACTTTTACGAGTCTCAGCTTTTCCCTCATCTTTCTCCCCAACCGTGTAGTTGTCATCGGTGTGGTGAAGCAACATTTGCCGACCTCCTCTGGGACCGATGCCCGGGTTTTACCGGTCCAAATTTCTCGCGTTTTTGAGGGATTCCAGGGGCCTGTGGAGGTCACAAGCCCTGCCCTCGTCGACCGATACATTTGCGAGTTCTTTTGATGCGGAATATGACACGCCTTTCACCGAAATTACTGTAAAATGATGAGTTTCACAAACGGCAATTGCCAAGTAATTCTGAGGCGCCAGCCAGGCGGGGGAGATTTGTGCTGTGCGCTCCGCATTCGAATGAGAGATATAACGTTACGTGTGGAGGTAGAGACGCACAGGGCAAACGGGGCGGAAAACGTTGTAGTAGAATTGTGGGATTAACGCTGGGCTATTGCAAGAGAACGGGAAATAAGGGAGAGCGCAACTACAATGCCCAGACTTGGACAGGTAAATGATAACAGCAATACACAATTAGGGAGCACACATTTGCATTGAAAGACTTCTGGTTGAGTTATGCAACCAAGGAGTTTAGAAACTTCTTGATGCAACATACTACAAATAAATGTCCACATTAGGTGTTTTAGGTGTTCTAGTTTTGAAAATGGCAGGATTAAAAAAATGATTTAATATCATAATTTAACATTGAAGGATTGAAATTTTGGGACCGATCATCAGGTCATACTGATCGGAGGAAGTTTTGTAACGAGTTCGTTTCGACGTATGTCGCTACATGTATAAAGTTTAACGGAATCAATTAACGGAAGACCGCAGAAAATAACCTTTTTAGTTTTACCAGTTAGTGGACGACATTGATGTTATAGTTCCATCTTTTCTGGTTTCGCAAGAATTGACTGCATTTGCGACAACAATCGTACAGTTGCTCCAGTTACTGCGTCGTGATCAAGTATCCCTTTGGACGCAACCAACTCTTTATTTTGTGTCTCCGAAAATCATGCATAAACTAGTCTCGTAAGTCACAACTTAGTAATATAGAAGTTTTACTACCCCCAGCAAAATAAGATGATACTTTTGTGGTAGATTTTAGAATTATTTCAGCATTCAGAAAGTTGTCCTCTTCCGCCGGCCAATGGTCGAGTCCTAGTCTCCACACTTTGTTCGTTCAACATGGCGGGACTCTAAGGTGGAAGTCATCAGACGATAGTCTGGTCAGATCGGCGCCTCCTTGACGCACATTTTTGGCACCAGATTCAAAGGTGGGTTTCCTGTTCTTGTTGCAAATGTACGAGGGAACATTTACAAGACACGGTGTTGAGTTTCTCAGAGATATCACAGTGAGACTAGCGGACGTCTGTCTGAAAGTCTGGGACGATTGTATCGATGGGAATTGGCGGGAAGCAACTTTCTCAGAACTATCACTTTTCCCACGCTGGATACTTTTAAACCCATCAAATTCGACGTCTTCTGAGAGAAAAGTAAGCCGGGGAACAGGAATCAGAGCCATAATGTCTGGAAGAGAGCGTCGTTTTCATGCATTTTTGTAACGCCGTCCTCATCAACTCATCTGTTGTCGGCAGCTCGCGCCGTTTCCATGAATTTTTTGGCGGGAAAATCGGGGCTGACAGACGGAGTGGAGCGCGCGCCCCAAGCGGGTTGTTTGGTTCGTGTTAATAAGTCGCCAAAATCAGCACATGTCTCTCAGAAATATTATCACGCACCTTAACACCGCAGGCCAACAGTCACTCCTTAAATTTCATACTCTGATACCGGCTCAGTTTCATACCTGCGTTTTACCCCCAAGACACTTCATGTTTCACTCAAGAAATCTGCACCTACTCCTATTGCTCAAATTACCCGACAGCTGTCACTTTTATCTTTCAGATAACAACTCCGCGTGAGAGATAAGTTCATGTGGAATTACAGACACCGAGAAGATTTCCCACTTGTTACAGCATAATTAACTGAGCAATGATAGACTGTCTATCATACCAACAGCATTAGACCAAAACCACAGGGGTGCACCAAATGCCAGTAGATCCGATTTTGGCGCCAAGCTTTGCTTGTGACATTACAAGACTGGGGAGGAAGAGGGCTCTTGGGAGTCATTTGAGTTATCTTTAATTTCCCACTCAAACAACCTGGCAATTAGGGGAAAACACGATGGTATGAAGCATGCCCAACTAAGGATAGGTACTGAATTGTTAATGAGGCTGTTAGAGGTAAATGTATGTGGCAGATGAGTGTTTCTCATGTTAGTAGCATCAACATGAATAAAGTTTGGAAAGGGAGAGAAGAAGAGAAAAAGGTAGAATTTATATAAGGTTTGAATTACATGCTAAAATACTACATGCTCTGAAGGTATGAAAACATTTTTAAAGTCAGAAATCTCATACATTATAGTTGTAAGTTTGTCAATGAAACAGAATGGATAAGGAGGATTAAGGAAAGGAATATCAGAAAGAAGAAAAAAGACATGAACTCCTGAGTCTATAGTGATATTGGAGGTGATTGAGAAAAATTTAATCAGACATGCAAATGAAAGTGAAGGAAGTGCTCTAGACTCCTTAAGAATATTTGAAAACATCGTTATGGTAACACATTGTGACATTACCTAGACAGTGGGAAGTGTTCAATTAATTCTTCTGAATCATTGATGAAGTAGAATGCTAATGTCTTTGTATTATGTTGGCAAAACTTTTCTCCCTTTACAGAGCCACTCCTGACAGGGACTCAATGACTTTTTTAACAAGTTTATGTCATATTTCCTCACCATGTTTCTCTAATTGTGTTTTGTCACAGGAGAACACTTCTACAATGGGCCACTGTGAGCTGTCTCCCTAACTCATTCATCCCAAATCATGTCATCAAAAGGCATCAAGGAAGGGCTGTTTCACTCCAGCAAAACGGGTAGGGTAAGGTCTTAACTGATAGGAAGAAATCAGTACTTTTGTTGTCTTTCTTGTCATTTATGACATCTGAACAGGTTTTTGTGAGACTTTTATAATTTTGAGTCTTTTTGATTGGATTATATTTGATAGTACTGTCAGTGTTATTTGCCCCTTTGTGTCAATCATTGAAAAACAATGGCTTCACTTTGTGACATAATAATGTGCATGTAGACTCAAGTCATTTTCATCCACATTTTTTGGGGCAATGTGTTTGTTGACAATCAAGTTAGGCCATAGTGGCCATATGGTCTCGCTTTAGAATCACAAGTTAGAGAGGTACCTTATTGTAATTTTAGCAATTGCTGGATTCTCTCCTTGGTAATCTGTGAAAGTACCCATTAAGTCCAGCTTAGAAAAAGCTCCACCCTCAGCAATATATACAGGACTTGCCAGTTTTCTGTGTGGGGCCTCACCAGTGTGGACCTGTCCGATAGAACCTCCAGAAAATGTTGTGTAAGACTAGCTGACTGCTAATCAAATACTGCATAATACTATTTTTTAAAGAGTAAGAGTGGTGTATCACACAAGCTACATACCGACTAGTCTGAAAGTGTTATACATATTCAAGAAGATTTTACTAAACATGAAATTCAGTTGTAGACTCTAGTGTCAGTGGCCTGGCCTTTATGACAATATGTGCCAAAGAAATGTAACCTTCCCTGCAGCCATGTAATTGTTTAAGTAAAGGTCACTCATAGGGAAAGGGGCAGGGGCACAAATGTGAAGGGTTAATAAGAGCAAGTGATGCAAATTAGGGATGTAGTGGTCTGAAACCTACCCTTTTTTATTAGCCATGGCTGGCAAAATGCAGCATCGTGAATATGACAGGCTGATATTCCCAAAAGGGTTTATTTTCTAACCTCCCGCTCACCCATCACTTTTTAACAAAAATTTCCTGATATGACAGGTCAATATCTATGATGGAATAGTCCCATCCGCACTTTTGTTATTATGAGAGTCAGACCTGATTTTCTTGGTTGTTGTTTGCAGTAACAACACCTGGCGGCTCTCTGGCTTTCAATACCCGGTAATTGCAACTTGAAACATTGTAAAAGTATAGCGATGATTTGTTTTCAAAGTGACGATGTTGTCCCTTTAAAGTGACTCCAATGGTGTTCTGTGCATTGAAAAGAGTGACATAATCGCTCCTTCTAGACAGTAGTTACCAAACTGATATTGATAAAAAATTTATATTGGTCCTGCAATCTTATATATATCTCATAATGATATAAAAACTGTGTAATGAGATAGGACATGTAGACTATATATTAGAGCTCATAGAACTGAGCTGTACATCATAATGGATAAACAACATCGTATTTTTGCTACCTTTTTAGTCTGTGAATCTAGGAGTTTGAAGTCATCGGACTAATTCCTGGACTGGGTGCAGCGCAGCATGCAGGAAGGTCGCCTGAAGCTCCGGCACCACCAGGGATTTTCTGGGTCAGTGCTCTGTTGATCTGGTGGGGGTGATTGCATTCTTGCAGCAGGCAAAATAAGGCCACACCTGGACAAGGTGTTTATCTGCATTAGGCAATACCTGGTCTGTTTCAAAGGGGTCAGACATGGTAAACAATAGTCTAGATGTGATGGGCAAGAGTTGAAAGCAAATAGAAGTATAGAGGGAAAGTAGATCTGATTAGTTTCACAAAAATTGCTGTTCTTTTCAAAATCTAAATATTATACCATATCAGTTCAATTTGTGGCTTCCTTCTACTCAGATGATAGGTTACGCTTTAATAGGGGCAGCATAAAGAAATCACAGCAGAGGCATGTCCTAGTGTGCACTAGAGAAGGCTTTGTGTTGTATAAAGGTGAGGCAGCACTTGCAGGCATAAGAAAAAGCATTGTGCTTAATTCGCTTATTTTGCAGGATAACCAATTTTGTATATTTTGAGAGTTAAATGTTGTCTCAACAGTCTCATACCCCTTTTCCTTCCACTACCCAGTACTTTACAGTTTGCCATTCAGAATGTAGACCATTAAAATGCTATGCGGCGGCAGCCGCATTAGTACCACCTAGATATCACAGCTAAAGGGAATTAGTCTGGCTGAGAATACGCCAGAAATCTTCAAAACAAAAATCCAGCTATGTATTACTCATAACCCAAGACATGCACGCCTTGTCATGTGTTTTCCTGGGGGACCTGGCTAACTTGACAGCTGAGGTCTTGAGAGCTTTTGAGGAACCTTACTCCTGAGAACAAAGAGTAAAAACTGTCAATATTCTTAGGAAGCCAAGGGAACTTCTTGACAGGGCTTTTGGTGAGGCACCTGCAGGTTAGCATTGATTTTAGATATGACACGTGCAGCTTTGACAGCAAATTGTTTGAGGGAATATTCTGGTATCTGCTGTAAGAGATAGCAAAGACAACTCCACTAAGTCTCAGGTAACTTTTAATCCAGGGCTAGAAGGCCAGCCAAATTCAACACGGTGTTTGATCAAAGTGAGGGGAAAAAAAGATCTTGCCAGCTGTATTTCTTTTATTTCTTATCATCATGCGTCCATATTTTCTTTTGTTCTGACCTTTGAATATCATGGTGGAGGCCTTGGTGTGTGCAGTGTGAATGAATGTGGCCAAATGATTGAAGTTAACTTTGCCTGTTGGCAACAAGATTTCTTAAGCCACCTATCTTGTGTGTCATGATGTTTTGTGGTGAAAAAATACTTTTTGGCTAAGCCGAGTACTTGGCAGAAATGATCTTCCTCTAATTTTTGACCTTAATTATTTTGGCAAATCTGCACTGTACACCCATTACAGCGTGATGCCCTAGTAACTTCTGATCTCCCATCACTTCATCTAAAATAGATACATCACATTTCCAGACAAGGTGGGTGGGGAAGACTGACTGAAATTGGGTCATCTTTGGGCCACACCAATATCCAGGTGCTGTCAACTTATGCAGACAGTATAACCGTGCATAATTTTCTTGAATCAAAAATTCCCCAGTGTGCATCTGCTGTAGGAGATAATAACATTTCCTGTTTATGAAGAGCGAGTCTACGCCGCACGTCACAGCTTGTGGTCAGCATTTCCAGGTCACCAACCAACCAGAAAGGTAGATAATGCGTTGTTACTGTTTGAAGAGGGCAGGTAGCAGGATTAGGTAAAGCAGTCAGAAGAGGTGATAAGAGCAAAAGCAACACAGTTGGTATCATCACAGCAGCTTAGTCTGGACATGTGAGATAGAATGAACTGGACCTCTGACTCATTTATCATGTGAATCTATCTGATAGACACGCAGTGAAATTACATCTTTTGGGGAAAATATCACGTAGAAGATACAGAGAGGATGTAGGATTAAGGGAAAACTCTAGAAAAAGTTTTGTCAGTTCACCTGTGTGACTGGTGTCTCTTCCTTTTATGTCGATGAAAATCATTTTTATGTCAATGAAAATCAAAGTTACATACATCTCTTGAGAAAGTGTCTTCAGAAAGATGTGGGTCAAGTGTTATGGGGGAAATTCTGGATGGACGAGTATTCTATTGTCACTTCACCATGAATCAAAATCATACCCTTGTGTATCCATTGGGAAATTTCATGTGCAAGATGCTAAGTGGGTTAAGAATTTGTAAAAAGTGTAAGTGCAGTCTTGTTACCAGCCTTGTTCTGCATTAGCCTGTTCCCAAGTTGCCAACCCTTGAGTGTTGGGCAGATATAATATTATGAGTAAGCTGCTGTAAAGGTACAGAAGAGGCATTTCATCTCACTGCACTAGGCACATGTGCATGCTGTAATGTGGAATCTTCAAGAGGTGATGTCATTACCAAATATTTCATTCTCAGGGTACGATAACTGACATTTTGTTTCACTTTCCAGAAACCTTAATTGACAAAGCTAACACTAACAATTTATACAGTGCTCACGGAACGATGTACATATTATCCACATAAAGGAATTTTAACCAAGAAAACCTTGGTGTATTTATGTGAACTTTGTAATGATTTATCAGCAGATTGAAAACCCAGCCATCTTTTCTTTCATGTTTGAAGCTTCTTCCTGAAGTAACATGAGCATGCTGCAGAAAGTGATAAATACACCTTCCTAATCCTAATTTCCTCAGGCCCCAGAATTGCAGCCCTCCCAGGTAGAAATGAATATTTCGCATTTTGATGGGATTCCGAGTGAAATTGTGAAACTGATGGATGATACATGGATTGTCCTGCTCATACATCAATGTTGCTGTGACAACTACCATGCGTAAAGCACTTGCTTCTGACTAGATGGTGGGCAATCATGCTGTACAAACGTACTAATGCAAGAGCAGGTCCATCACTACCTTCGCCAGGAGGTTATGTTTTTGCTAGCATTTGTGTGTGTGTTTATGTATGGGGTTTAGCATGATAACCCCAAGAAGCAATGGATGGATTGTCATGACACACGTCTTGGTAGGTGGGTAGGTCTTGATAAGACCTCAAATTGATTAGATTTTGGGTCCCCTGGCAGCTTGTTATGATACTGCAGTGGAACATCTGGTTTTGATATATTGTGATCTGAACATGCTAGAGTGATGAATTTTGAATGGTACTTAGGGACTGTACGATATTTACCGGGGGGGGGGAGGGCCGGTCGTCTGAGGGGGGAGGGCCTAGGAAAAAAATTTTGAGCCGGGGGGAGGGCCTAGGAAAAAATATTTTAATTTGGGGGAGGGCCTAGGTAAAATTTTTTTCCAAGATCCCTTTAACTCTACAACGTTTTTATACACGTTCAAAACATGATTAAACGTCAGTCCATACATATCGTAGCGATTTGCCGGTCATTGGAATCGGCAGAATTTTACGTTCCAATAATATCCATCCCTATTATTATAATGTATTCGCCCAAATGTCCCACAGTCCCCTTCAAAATCTTGCATTTTCGCCAGAATCGGCGAAACTGGACACAGCCAAATTACATGGATTAAAATCGTGTCAATCGCGGCTATCGAAACGATACCGATCAAGAATGTAGGGAAGG